TTTGCTTCCCATCAGAAGAGTTTTCCCCAACCGGGCGCCCTTCATATGCGCTGGACTACAACTCCCATACAACGGGCGCCGTAGCGCAGAGCATCTGAAGGGCGCCGGTTGGGGAAAAGCAGCGTTGGAACAACAGGGCGAATGCCCCTGAAAGTCAACCGCCGGCGGTGTTTGGATTGCTGCATTTTCTTCGTTCTTTCCCAACTGTCCAAACAAACAAAAACCCACAACCCCTTTGGAGATTTCTGGCCTGTAGCTCCTTTGGAACAAGTTCTGCCAACCGAGGAGACAGAGTGTTCCTGTGCAAATCGCACCAGCTCAACAGAAACAGGGGAAAGGAAAAGGGGGGGGGACGGACGACTCGCACAAGGAATCAATGCTTATTTGTCACCCAGAGCAAAAGCCCAGCCCCAGTCTCTGGCTCAAAACATCCCCTCCCCAGCTCCCCCGCAATTTGCAAGCATGTAATCTCCAGCCACCTCCGCAAAGGTGTCTGCTGCAGGCGCAGCCCACAGGTGACATCCGGCCCCCAGAGCGCTCTGACTCGGCCCCTTGCGGCACACACTTTTCTCTAATCTTTCACGGTTCACAAGTTCACAAGGTAAATGAGCAAAGTTTGCAACTGCATTTCCTAGACATGTCACTGGTACTGCTATCTGTTACAGTCAGGCAAGGAAAAGAAATCTGGGCACCTTCTGAAGCCAGGCCTATTCACCCCACACCTATGAAAGCCTTACTTCTGGGCAGTGGAACATGTATCACTAAGTGCCACCCAATTGTGCTGGCCAATGTTAGAAAGTCAGGTATAGAAAGCTATGTGCTAAACGGCTCCTTAAACCAGGATCACTCAACAGTCACCAAAATGGAATGCCTAGTTTCATTACAACTTTTTAGTTCTTGAAATTCGTTCCAATTGTGCAAATAAAATATAACAGATAGAATGCTACAGGGTGTATTGCTGGTGTGTGGAAACGGTCAAGACCCAAGAACCCCCAGGCATGCACCTCCAGATGGAGGAGACATTAAGCCCCATCCTGGTGCAAATGGTTGATAAAGGTAAAGGGACCCCTGACCATTAGGTCCAGTTGTGGCCGACTCTGGGGTTGCGGCGCTCATCTCGCTTTATTGGCCGAGGGAGCCGGCGCACAGCTTCCGGGTCGTGTGGCCAGCATGGACTAATGCCCGTTTCCTGGCGAACCAGCAGCATGTGCCCATGGGATAAACGCCTCTTTACCTTCCCGCCAGAGCGGTACCCTATTTATCTACTTCGCACTAGACGTGCTTTCGGAACCGCCTAGGTTGGACAGGAGCAGGGCCCGCAGCAACGGGAGCTCCACCCCAGTCACCGGGGATTGTGAACCGCTGCCTTCTGATCGGCACAGTCGTTAACGGCTGCTGTTGGTCCTCTAACCCACACTAGCCGCGCACCAAGGGTCGTCAACAATGGCCCTGGTGAATTTGGCCCACAAAGGTTTGAACCCCTAAATCAGGCAGCGATAATAATAGAAACCCTCATTTTATTTCCCCCAACTTTAATTTTCCCAGAGTTTCTTCAACCTTGGCTTTCCTTTGATAACTGCTGGACTACA